CCACAGGGGGCGCTGTGGTACTGCAGACTAAATTCACGAGGGCTACTCACTAAAAAAGTCCCATAGAACTCAATGTAAACTAAAACAGCTCGACCTCAGCTGACAGAGAACCTGACAGAGAACCTACAGCTTTCTGAAATATCGGATTTTGTTGGGATTTTTGTGTCCCTTGTCCCTTTTTTCTTCTTAAATCTTTCTGTTTATTTAAATCAACATTTTACTGCCACAAACTCTGCTCCTTTCCTTCCCGCTCTGACCCCGCTCTGATGAACAGCTCTGATTGGTCAGAGCGCGGCCGAGCACCTCTGTGCAGAGAGGTAAGGGTAGAGAGAGCATAATAAAAAAAATAATAATATAGTTTATAAACATTTTTGAGAATTTCTTTCTTAAAATATAGCATCGCAGCAGAAGTGACCTCTCGTGTGTCCGTAAATACAGCGGCACAGAACTCACCGAGGTCCATACATAACAATACACAGAACATCAGGGGTGTCCAAACATTTTTTTTTCTCACAGGATCAAAAGTTATTACATATGAACGAACCAAATCTAAGTGTTTGTGTGAGTTAATATTTAAGGATTGCCACATGGCTCAGTTTGACCTCTGACCTTTGATGATTGGTCATAACTGCAGCAGGCCTGAGATCTTAGTCCTGTGAGAATGTGTCATGTCTGTCTTTTGTAAAAATCTCAAAATCCTCCTGTATTTATCCAAACACTGACGTCCGGTGACAATCAGAATCCTTCTTCTACATTTTCTGTTCTCTTTTGTCAATATCTTGCTCTTTTCTCTTCGGGCTTGAGGCTGCGGTGGAAATGTTGATCTGCAGTTTTGATGGTTTTTAGCAGCAAACTCTAACACAGCCTCGTACCTCAGCGTGGAAACTGATCCACAGCAACCATGAGGCAAGTTTATTTGTATGGTACAGTTCATAGTTGAAAAGAGTAAAGATACAATCCCTCAGTCCTGGATTAGAACATTGTCAGCAAAGAAGTCTGTCTCATTTTTTCAGGAAGACAGTTCAAGATTTTTGCTGCATGAATCTGAAAAGCAGCCTCCCCATGTTTAGTCCTGACTCTGGGACCAGCAGGAGGCCAGTCCCTGTGCTCCTCAGAGTCCCAGCAGGAGGCCAGTCCCTGTGCTCCTCAGAGTCCCAGCAGGAGGCCAGTCCCTGTGCTCCTCAGAGTCCCAGCAGGAGGCCAGTCCCTGTGCTCCTCAGAGTCCCAGCAGGAGGCCAGTCCCTGTGCTCCTCAGAGTCCCAGCAGGAGGCCAGTCCCTGTGCTCCTCAGAGTCCCAGCAGGAGCCCAGTCCCTGTGCTCCTCAGAGTCCCAGCAGGAGCCCAGTCCCTGTGCTCCTCAGAGTCCCAGCAGGAGGCCAGTCCCTGTGCTCCTCAGAGTCCCAGCAGGAGGCCAGTCCCTGTCACAGATGTATTTTGGTGCGAGGCCATGGAGAGACTTGTACATGATTCCCTGAGCCACTGGTGCAGAGACCTGAGACCAGGACTAATGTGATGGTACTTTCTGGTTCTAGTCCGGACTCGAGCCACAGTTTGAGTATATTACAGTTTATTTACAGCCTGTTAGGACAGACCTGTGAGCAGGCCATTGCAGTAGTCTAACCTACTGGAGACAAATGCATGGATAAGAATCTCCAAGTTTGCTTTAGACACTATGTTTTTGATCCTGGCAATGTTTTTAAAGAGATCCAAGAAGAGAAACCGTTCTCTGTGGATGTTGTCTGGATCACATATTTAGTTGCAGGTGGTAGGAATGTGCTGCTAATAACACAGAGGCGGGCGGTGATCTGAAGATGACCAGAGATCCACAGGTAATACTGATCCTTCTACTGCTATAATCCTGGGCTTTTGACACATCTCTTACCCTCTAATACTTTATTTTTATTTTTATAATTATCCTGAACAGACTATATATTTTGCCTTAAACATGTTTTACACTTCTCTCTTTTGCACAAGTCTAAGTGATTCTATCTGTGCCAATGCGACCTGTACATATCTCCTGTGGGATATCTATAAATCTATATCTTATCATCAAGATACTAAAGGTACGGTTTAAAGTCTTATTTATTGTTTTCCATTCAAAATAAATCTCAAACCCTCGCACTCGCCAGAAGTAAACGTGATGAAGTAGCAGCGTCGTGACCTCGCCTTGCTGGTCATTATCACGGCGCGCTCCTATTGGCTGCCTGCTTTTCGCCGCACAGGTCGCTGCTCTCGCTAAATCTCGGGGGGGGGGGGGGACACAGACCAACAATAGCCCCGATGCGATGTTTAGTCTGTGTCTGCCGGGCTTACACTATATTCTGCACTTTGAAACCAGACCCCAGCTTAAACCACCAAAGACTTTAAGACAAGCTCGCAGCTACTTCATTACATCGGAGTTGACTTTTCCTCCGTGTCCAAAAGCGTATCATCGGGAGCAGAAACCTGTGGATATGGCTGCTTTGGCCGGGGCTGACGCTCCACGTTTGGGCTGATGTGTGTGGTGTTGTCTCAGGTCGACATCTCCAGGGTTTTTACAGATTTAGAAAGAGACTTGTCTAAATAAATCTTAACTTGTGAGGATGGTTATAGAAATCCAGGGCAAATGCACACCTTCCCAATCACACCGAGGGCTGTGCCAAAACAGGGGTTACTGCAGACTGGGGGTCCAAAACTCACACTCACTTCATGGAAATTCAAAGTCGGGTCGGTGTTTTCTGACTTATGTTTATTTATAAAGCGTATTTTACAGACTAAGCTCACCCAAAGTGGTTTACAATGTTCAGATGTTTTTCCGTTCTCTCCACACGGTGATGACGAACCAGCACCATCCATGTTTTCACTCGTTACTTTCAGAGCTAATGTTCTGGTTTTTAGTGGTAGGGGGAACCGCAGCATCCAGAGGAAACCTAGCAGACACGGGGAGAACGTGCAAACTCCACACAGAAAGGCCTGGAGGTGGGATCGAACCCATACCATTGTGTTTTGAACAGTTTGATGCAGACAGGGACGGTGGAAGATGCAGGGTCTTGCTCAAGCACAATCTCTAACAGAATGAAAGGCAGAACAATACTTTTGGTTAAATATGTTTAGGTACGTTTTTGGTAAAATTGAGATTAAGATCATTTATTCATCTCACAGCAGGGATCAGCAGCATCATCAGTTACAGAAAAGTAGAAATGAGCAGCACCCCGCACAAGATAAATGAACAATTACTCAAATAAAATACATTTAAATTGCTAACTTTAGCTTTAGCATGATAAAGAAACTGGTATAAAATCTCTAGCTTTAGCATAATAAAGAAGCTCGTATAAAATCTCTAGCTTTAGCATAATAAAGAAGCTAGTCTAAAATCTCTAGCTTTAGCATAATAAAGAAGCTAGTATAAAATCTCTAGCTTTAGCATAATAAAGAAGCTAGTATTACTTACTATTTTCTGGAATAACACATTACGCGTCAACATCTCTCCTCGTTCTTTTGCGTAGAGTAAAAAAAAGCATTCCTGGAGCTTCCATTAGAGACGCTGCTCCTTCATAGCCTCACAGCCCCCAGAGAGAAACACATGCACAGTCCGTTAACCAGAGTCACATGTGTCCGTGCTGCAGATACATGCGATAAAACCCCAAACAAAACCCAGCTCCGCATCAATATTATCGTAACGTGAGGTCTGGATCTGGAATCTCCACCATTTCCCCGTTCTGCTCACAGCGGGTGGTCAAGTGGCAGATCCTCTTTTGGACCGGCCACATCCTGACAGATTATGTTCCCCCAGTGCGTGCACCCTCAGTGCACTGCAAAAAAGAACTAAATATGAGGTAAAAATTGCTTGAATGTGGTGTTTTTTGTCTTAATTTGTGCACATTCTGACTGTGTTTAAACAAGATTCACCAATGCACTGCAAAAGATGACAGAATTAAAGACAAAAAAATGCTCAAATTTGGCTAAATGTATCTAAATATGAGCACATTTTGACTGCCCTAAATCAAGATTTGCCAGTGGAACAAGAAAAATTGTCTTGTTTTAAAAAGATACAAGATATTTTTCTCTGAGAAAATAAAGCAATAGTTCTTGAATCAAGTCAAAATTGCTTGTCTCTATGGCAAATCTCATTTTAAGACAGTCAGAATGAACTTAAGTCAAGTAAAAAAAAACTCGATTCTAGCAATTATGATCTCATATTTGATCATTTTTTGCAGTGTGGGACAAAGCCATTTAGTCCTGATCCAAGTAAGGTTGCTTTATTCGGACGATCTGCCTTCTCAGTTTACCGCAGCACACTCTCCGACAGAACTGAGGAACCTGACCTCAATCCGCACTTTTCAAAACTTTATAAAGAAGAGGTTTGTGTGGACCATCAGAGACCTGTGAACACAACATGGTCTGAAGTCACAACCACTGACACTGTGCTGTTCTTGTATCTCTGCTAATTTACCTATTTTACCACATCACCACGTCGCATTATCCCTGTTTTGTTATGTCTTTGTGATGGTGTGTTTCTGTGTGTTGTGGCTTGTTTTATGCCCAATTTCATCCGTCTTGATATCAAGCTGTCATGGCACTATGAAAATGAGCCTACGTTTCTAACTCTGGCACATTTACATGATGAAAAAAACCACATGTTGATTAATGTGCACAACCCCAATTCAAATACAGATTGAAAAACAATTCTACGGGAGACATTTCTTGTATCTTTTCAAAACAAGATCATTTTGGGTTTTTTTCCCCATTGGCAGATCTTGCATGAAATCAGTGAAAAATGAGCTCAAATTGAGATACATTTGTCCAAAATTGAGTATTTTTTTACTTATTTTTCATCACTTTTTACAGTACCCACCGACACACGCACACGGCCCTGGCTCCATTCACACTCTGCACCTTTTATCGGCTCAGAATCACAGCTAAATCTCAGCTTCTGCCTCTTGATGAAAGGCAGCCTGCGGTGGAGAAACCTTATCCCAGAGGCAGCGATAAGGCCACAGTAAGACCCAGGTAAGGCCAGGATTAGAGCTGGAGACAGCGGCTGGAGACAGCGGCTGGAGACTGGGGCTGGAGACTGGGGCTGGGGACTGGGGCTGGAGACTGGGGCTGAGACTGGGGCTGGAGACTGGGACTGGAAACTGGGGCTGGAGACTGGGACTGGAAACTGGGGCAGGAGACTGGGGCTGGAGACTGGGGCTGGAGACTGGGGCTGGAGACTGGGGCTGGAGACTGGGACTGGAAACTGGGGCAGGAGACTGGGGCTGGAGACTGAGGCTGGAGAATGAGGCTGAGACTGAGGCTGGAGACTGGGGCTGAGACTGGGGCTGGAGACTGGGGCTGGAGACTGGGGCTGAGACTGAGGCTGGAGACTGGGGCTGGAGACTGGGGCTGAGACTGGGGCTGGAGACTGGGACTGGAGACTGGGGCTGAGACTGGGACTGGGACTGGAGACTGGAGACTGGGGACTGGGACTGGAGACTGGGGCTGGAGACTGGGGCTGAGACTGGGACTGGAACTGGAGACTGGGACTGGAGACTGGGACTGGGACTGGAGAGTGGGACTGGGACTGGAGACTGGGACTGGAGACTGGGGCTGAGACTGGGACTGGAGACTGGAGACTGGGACTGGGACTGGGGCTGGAGACTGGGGCTGGAGACTGGGGCTGAGACTGAGGCTGGAGACTGGGGCTGGAGACTGGGGCTGAGACTGGGGCTGGAGACTGGGACTGGAGACTGGGGCTGAGACTGGGACTGGGACTGGAGACTGGAGACTGGGGACTGGGACTGGAGACTGGGGCTGGAGACTGGGGCTGAGACTGGGACTGGAACTGGAGACTGGGACTGGAGACTGGGACTGGGACTGGAGAGTGGGACTGGGTCTGGAGACTGGGACTGGAGACTGGGGCTGAGACTGGGACTGGAGACTGGAGACTGGGACTGGGACTGGGACTGGAGAGTGGGACTGGGACTGGAGACTGGAGACTGGGGCTGAGACCGGGACTGGGGACTGGAGACTGGGGCTGAGACTGGGACTGGGACTGGAGACTGGAGACTGGGACTGGAGACTGGAGCTGAGACTAGGACTGGGACTGGAGACTGGGGCTGGAGACTGGGGCTGAGACTGGGGCTGAGACTGGGACTGGAGACTGGGGCTGAGACTGGGACTGGGACTGGAGACTGGGGCTGAGACTGGGACTGGGACTGGGACTGGGACTGGAGACTGAGCCGCATTTTAAATAGCTCACTCGCTCAACTTAATAACCGGGGATATTATTTGATATTTTACGGTAAATAAAAAATAAAATGTAATAATTTTACACTTAAGCCATTTTTAATCGCTCCACTTAATAACCCGGGATATTATTTGATATTTTATGGTAAATAAAATATACAGTTTAGAATATAAAATATAATAATTTCAAACAAAAGTCTCGCTCCAGAATCCAAGTCTTACCCACGGCCAAACTATGACAAAAACTGTGATTTATAATCCGAAAAATACGTTAAATGGGTTTTGCTAATGTATTTCAGCCATGATTTTTCCAAACACTGACATATTCCACAAATAATGCATGTGGCTTTCCCGCATTGTCTCCAAACACATGCTATACTTCATTTGTCCACAATAATAGCTTTGACTCTAACCAGGTCTCGTTCCCGTCGAGTTTCGCGGCACAAAACTCCTCCACTCTGTTGCCGGTGAGGGCCATTATTTACATCCCAGTCCCATTTAGCGCTGGGTGTTTGTGGACTGTACACATGGGGAAGGGACTGGCTCAGATCTGTCAGTACGGGACTACCTCACTGTGTACGCAGCCTGCCCACACCATGTCACGGTGCCCCATGGTTTGTCACAGCATGTATGCGCAAACGCTCAGGAGAGGGACAGCAAAAATATATATTGCATGCAAGCTACTGCACGGTGGCGTGTTTGGAGCGTGAAATACATGAACGTGGACGTGTGTCGGGGGTATTGCCATGTACTTTTGGATCGTAACCATGGCGCTAGGATATGACATATACAGGGCTAGCAACATATCATGCAAAATCGTCCATTTTGGAAATTTTAAACAAGTTACAGCGTCATCGAAACCATGTGTGGACTTTATACGTCCCACGCTGGGGAAATTCAGTTTTGATTAATAAACATATAGTACACATCAAGGCATGCAGAGTACAATTACTTCCGTGTTTCTCATGGGCAAGTGGGGTAAAGTGTCTTGCCCAAGGACACACTGACAGCAGACATCAGTGTGAGTTGATGGAGAAGGTCTCATGGTGGGCTCAAACCCACAACCTTCAGACGCACAGGCCTACTGTGGCGACAGTAGCTCAGTTGGTAGAGCATTAGCCTTTGAGTTCGAGGGTCGTGGGTTCGAGCCCGACTTTCACCATCGACTCTCACTGTCTGCTGTCGTTGTGTCCTTGGGCAAGACACTTACCCCACATTAGAATGAGTCTGGTGTGTGTGTGGGAGGGGCCTATGGCACAGACTGGTTGCCTCGCTTCTGTCAGTGTGCCCCAGGGCAGCTGTGGCTACAGTAGTAGTTTATCACCACCGTGTTTGGAGTGAATGAATGAATGAAACTGATGAAAAAATAAATGCTATACCAACTGAGCCACTGTCTACCCAAAAATAACCACATTACATTTAAAAGAGTAAAGATAAAAGAATTCAGTTCAAGAATCTATTTGCCATTTGCAGTAAAACCACATTGAAAAAACGGTGCAACCCCCCCCCCCCCCCCCCCTCCCCCAGTGTGCACCAGAGAGAGAAGACAGCCCACACCAGCTCTTGCCAGTTGTTTGCAGCTAAACAGAACTGGTTTTAACCTGTATTTGAACATTTACAGGGAAAAAGCCTGTCTCACATTTTCAGGAAGACCAATCCACATCTTAGCTGAATAAATCTGAAGCTCTGCCTCCCCATGTTTACATCTGACTTAGAAAGAACCGCCGTCTCCACTTTTTGAGCAAAACTTCTGTGTTTTTGTTTTTAAATCTGACTTGTATGTGCATTATTTGTATCTGTATGTTGTAAATGTGAAGCTCTTTGTGATCCTGGTCTGTGAAAGGCGCTATACAGATAAACTTTACTTCCTTACTTACCTAACTATATTAACCGAGCACGTCTCACTAGAATGATTGACAGTTGGGAGGACCAATAGTCCCGATGATCCACCCGGAAGTAAAAAATCCTCCTGTTTACCTACAACAGAACCTTCTAACCCATGATCTCTTACTCAAGATAATACACAATACGATTCCCTTTATTTGTCCCACTGTGGGGAAATTTCAATGTTAAGATTATTATTAATATTTATTATTAACTAGCTGTAAAACCTATAATAATGTACGGACCAGAACCATGCTGAGTATTGCTGAGCACATTCTAAACTCCCAGAGCAGTGGCAGGTATCGTTGCCGTGTGAGTAATCCAAGGCAGATCCTGGCCAGACATATCGAGATGAATTGGGACGAGAGAGATTTTGGACAGAGGCCAGTGGGAGACGGCAGAGGAGTCTGAGTGATTCATTACACTTCAAACCTCGGCATCGTAAAGCGTTCCACATTCAGGACCTTTTCACATTCAGGCAAGAACACAAAATAATCTGCTGTTTTAACCTACATTTGGTTTCATACATTGGAACATATTTGGTTTGTCCCAATAGAAAGAGTAAATCAGTTCGCTACATTCTGTCCTTATCTTATCCTGAAGACCTGTTATCTGCTGCATGCTACTAAGAAAAATCCCTGTGAGTAACTTTTTGGTGGTTTGGCTAATCGGCTAAGTGAGGGTGGTCCTCTCTGTTTCCCTTCTCTGTCTGAAAACACTGATATGAAGATGTGATGAGGCCAAACATGAGTTAGATGTGGGAATTAGCAAAAATGTGAGTATAGTATTTATATTTGGGCCACAATCCAATATTATTGGAATAGAGTAAGTATGTAATGTAGTCAGAGCGTAGATAGTCCGAGCGTAGATAGTCCGAGCGTAGATAGTCAGAGCACAGATAGTCCGAGCGAGCGTAGATAGTCTGAGCGTAGATAGTCCGAGCGTAGATAGTCCGAGCGTAGATAGTCCGAGTCTGAGCGTAGATAGTCTGAGCGTAGATAGTCCGAGCGTAGATAGTCAGAGCACAGATAGTCCGAGCATAGATAGTTAGAGCGTAGATAGTCAGAGCGTAGATAGTCCGAGCGTAGATAGTCCGAGCGTAGTTAGTCCGAGCGTAGATAGTCCGAGCGTAGATAGTCCGAGCGTAGATAGTCCGAGCGCAGATAGTCCGAGCGTAGATAGTCCGAGCGTAGATAGTCCGAGCGTAGATAGTCCGATCACAGATAGTCCGAGCGCAGATAGTCCGAGCGTAGATAGTCCGAGCGTAGTTAGTGCGAGCGTAGATAGTCCGAGCGTAGATAGTCCGAGCGTAGATAGTCCGAGCGTAGATAGTCCGAGCGTAGATAGTCCGAGCGTAGATAGTCCGAGCACAGATAGTCCGAGCGCAGATAGTCCGAGCGTAGATAGTCCGAGCGTAGTTAGTCCGAGCGTAGATAGTCCGAGCGTAGATAGTCCGAGCGTAGATAGTCCGAGCGTAGATAGTCCGAGCAGAGATAGTCCGAGGCGGTCCCACAGGTCTCTCCAGAGGGTACGGTGTAAGCCAGTGGGGGCTGGTCCCAGCTCAAAAGTGGCCAAAATGACGTGCGCTGACATGCTGCAATACCACCCCGGGCCGATGGGGGTGGACCCAGAAGTAGAATTAGCCAATGCTAATTGGCAGACCTCTCAAAAACGTCTTTACAGGATGGACCAAAAGTTGGCTCTTGGCCCAAAGCTCCGTTCCACATGTGTGTCAATGCTGAGGGGGGTGTTTTGAACCACTCTAGTTTACTTGCTGTGAATTTTTGAAGTCTCTCGTTCAAATGAATGGAGCTGCGCCGGCTGACGCATGCGCAGATGCGTTTTTTCCCAATTTTCTTGTGGGCGGGACCACTCGCCGGCATTTTGGATAGCTCCAGTAGAGCAAATTTTTTGGCCCATTAGTTAGAACGGCGGAGATAGGCGTTACTCTATCCGTTAATATATACAGTCTATTGTGTAAGCTAGCGCTACGTATATTCCCAGGGCTTGATTTCTTCTTTGATCATGTTTTGGCTTTAGTTCCCTCTTCTCTTCCTCACTGTTGTGTGGTTTGGACTGTGTCTGCAGTTACAGCCAGAGGAGCTATAGCCACTTTATGCCTCCGTTCTGCTCTTGTTTACCAGCCCTGTAGAGACTAGAGGAGGCGTGGCCACCACCGCTCCTCGTTCTGTGATTGGAGGAGAGCGGGCGTCACGCTAAGTCTCTACCCAGCACTTTTTACGCCTGAATTCATAAACAGCTGAATCTATGAGCTCAAGTTTTCAATTAAATTACGGATTTTAATACAACTTGTATGCAGTAATAATCATTTTTATGAACTCATTAGATATTAGAAAGATTTAAGATGTACCTTTATTCGTCTCGCAGTGGAGATATGTCAGAGTCGTTGTTGCACATATCAGCAGGGAAAGAAGGACACAAGAGCACTCAGATTGCACAAATCAAATTGAGTCTATGATTTAAGATAATAGACATCCATCCATTTTCTACCCTTTAATCCATTTCTGGGTCAGTCTCAAGTCTCATAGCACCAGCCCCTCACTGACCCTCTGCAGGTAGTGAGTCCACAGGAGGACGGCTGCTCTCTGAGTGTGAGCATAGCCTTAATCTTTCAGTGGGGGCTTTGGGCAAAGTGGGGTTAAGTGTCTTGCCCAAGGACACAACGACAGCAGTCATCAGTGGGAGTCGGTGGAGAAGGTGCAGAGGTGGGAATTGAACCCACGACCTTCTGGCCTTAAGGCCAATGCTCTACCAACAGAGCTACTGTAGCCCCGGTATAATAGACAATAAAATAAAAACTAAAAATAAAATAAAATAAACTCTGGGGCTATACTTGTAAAAAGTATTTACAGATGCGTATATTTACCAGCGGAGAATATGAATATGAGCAGCATGAGCATCAGAAATAATATCATCGGGTAAAGTGACTTGGGCGACAGTGGCCTTTGAGCCCGAAGGTTGTGGGTTCGAGCCCACCACGAGACCTTCTCCACCGACTCCCACTGATGTCTGCTGCTTCCCTTGATGTGTATGTGTGTTTGTGTATGCATCAAACTGAAATTTCCCCATTGTAGGACTAATAAAGGACCTTCTTATTATTATTATTAAAATAAATCGGGTAAAGCATCTTTCCACTCGATCTGGTCTGAATCTACCACTGACCTGTTGTGACATCACCTCTATGCAAGAAGTTTTGAGTGTCGTATGGTGTATCCCTCAAATTATTATCACACATGTGCTTATAAGATGGACTGAAGAATATGTTTTTATATTATGGTCAAATTTGTAGTTGCTTAAAATCTTAGCTATTTGTAACGTGATCCTACTTTACTAAAATAATGCACTGGGTTAAAGTTTGTAATAATAAGACTTAAACCATGCAGGCTTTCGTCAATTTTATAACGACCAGCGTGAATCTTGATCCCTGCACCTCGCTCCGAAGCGAAGCCGCCCTTATCCAAACACACGTCCCGCTTGTATTTTTCTTGCTAATCTACGGAGTACATTAATGATATTTTATTGGCTTTTTCCTTGTTTGCTTTCCTAAAAACATCATTTAAAACTGTCAAACCT